CGGGGGGATGGCCACGCCGCAATCCCTTCTCCTCCATTCTCCTCTTGGAATGTTGGGCACGCCCGCACACGTGCCCGGTGTGAGTTTAAGCCACCGTGTCCGGGACTCGAACCGTGGTCGACTACATGGGAGTCCAGAGACAGAGCCATTACACTAACTGCTGGTCCCCAAGCACCTTTATTATGTCTTTTCCCAGTACGGACGCCATCTTGTACTGTTTCTTCTGGTAAGAAGATGCAGTTTATGAGGGTGCTGTGGACCCCTGCCATATTTTTCATGATCGGCAGCTGAAGGTTGAAATATTTGCCCTGGTGAATCTGTGGCGGATCCAGTCAGTACAAATGAGAGACTCTGTCCCTTTTGTCACAGCCTGCAGTCTGCCTGGGGGCCTCGGACTACTGAGTGCAAAATCCGTCCGTGAACATGGCAACTGTTGTCTTCGAACGCGGTGCCTGCTGAAACGTCCAGCTGGAACTTTCCTCCGCCTGTCGTTTTCACCGGGCCGCAGAAATCGTGTACCTGGTCCCATAACGCCCTCCCCATCCCATGCTCACATTAGACGATGATTAAGCTGAAGGATTTGCTCCATGCTCGGGGACGCAGTGGCGAGCAGCACAGACGTGTCCTGATTCCACAGACCCGCCTTCCCGGCTCGCGAGACCAGCAATAGCAGTTGGGAATTGGAACCGCGGCCTGGGCAGCGCTCGGCACGTGCCAGGCAATGACGGACGCCATCTGGTTTCATCCTCCAAGGTAGGCCGCACGCCCACTTTCACATGAAAACACCGAGGCTCAGGGTTAAATCACCTGCCCTGTGTCTCGTAGCCAATAAGCAGCAGAGCCGGGGCTTGCCCTCCTCCCTCCCTGTTTTTATCACTAGAGAGATTTTTGCTATAATGCGCGTGCCCTCTCCAGAGAGACAGAGAGACAGGGAGACAGAAAACAAGAAATCAGCCCCAGAGGGGATGGCCACACCACGGTCCCTTCTTCCTCCACTCTCCTCTCAGGATTCTGGCCATGGGAACACGCGTGCCAGCTGTGAATTGTAAGCCACCTGGTCCGGGATGTGAGAGTCCAGCAACATAGCCATTACACCATCTGCTGGTCCCATCCCTCCTTCGCTCGCAGGAAAGAGACAGAGACGGTGAGAGTGAAAGTGGGAAATCACCCTCTAGAGAAATGGCCACGCCGCAATCCCTTCTCCTCCATTCTTCTCCTGGGATCTTGGGCATGCACGCACACACGCCTGGCATGAGTTTCAAGCCACTGGGCCTGGGACTCAAACTGCGATCGGTCATGTTGGAGTCTAGCAACATAACTGCTATGCCTTCTGCTGGCTCCCTTACCCTCCTCAACCTTTCTTCTCCTACCATCCCTGCACTGTATCCCTCTGCTTCCCCATGGGCAGGTGGGGCTGGGGTCTAGGTTGCCTCTGTCCCCAGTCCTGAACCACGGGGCACATTGTTACTAAATGAAAGTTCACACACACATACACTCCCCAAGGTACACAGGACGCACTGGGTAAAAGCTCGGGGTTCAAGTACTATTTGGGTTCAAGTCCTGAATCTACCACATAGTAATACTAGCCATGTGCCTCAGTCTCCTCCTTTGTACAGTGGGGTAGGGGCGGGTGTCACGCCACTGGCACGAGTGGTCTGCAGCAAACACGGGCTATTGCCGTGAGAGCAGGTGTGCACCACCCTCCCACCTGTCCGCCTCCGCTAGCTCAGCTGGGTCCAGGCTCCCAGGTCAGAAGCAAAGAGCAGCCGCTCCTCTGCATGCCCCGGGCTCTACCTGGGCCGGCCCCGGTGAGTGTGGGTTCTCGCCAGCTCTGGGCTCTATCCCGGAAGGCTTCCTGGTAGAGGCTTCCCCTCAAGCTGGGTAAGGGGGCCACAATGAAGCAAGAGGGTGCTGCCCTGTGCCTTGGCTTCCCCCAACCTCTACTGCACCCCCTCCCTCCACCGCCTTCCTCACAGTACACACTTTTCCTCTCTCCTCCCGCCAGAGTGAAAATTGCCCCCAGGAATGTGCTGCTTCCCACCGCTCCCCTGGCAGTGGCCCTGGCTGTCGGGGGTCAGGCCTGGCCTCACATCAAAGCCCGGGGATCGTAACAGCAGGAACAGCGGCTCCCAGCCTGCGGCCACCGCCTGCCCCCTCCCTTCCTACCAGCCCTTTGGCTCCCAGGGAACAGCACATGGTAGCACTTAAGCTCGGAGGACGCCTTTCCTGCACCCCTCCCCGCCAGCCACAATGAGCTACTTGTTAGGAGACTATTTTCATTTTCCTTCTTGGACCGGGACGCCCAGCACAGACGTAAGGAGGCCAGCCCGGGAGCAGGAGTAGGAGCAGGGGCCGGGGCAGGAAGGGGGCTGATGACATCAGGGGAATGTGGCTGGTGCTCTGGCCTCCCCTCAGGAAGCTGGGGGTGTTTGGGGCAGGGCTTCGCGCAGAGGCAGTTTGTACAAGCTGGAGCCAGCGCAGCTAGCGGAGTGTGGCCAATGGCCCCTCTGACACCCGGGGTCCTTCGTGCAGGCTCTCAGTCTGCCGGCCACGTGAGCTTTGCTTTCAGGCCTCCTGGGGGAGCCAGGGAGAGAGAAGCACCTCCTGGCTCTGACCAGACCACGGCTTGCTCCATCAGGTGCACCTTCTGGGAGATTCTGGAAACCTGAGGGCCGTGGTCAGTCTCAGGAACAGGATGGCGGTGATATGGAGCCCCCTGGTGGCCACAGGCTACAGAGCAAGCCCTCTCTGTCCAGCCAGCCAGCCCCAGGCCAAGGCCACCCCCATGGGCTCCTCCAGCACAGAACTCTGGCCTGGGGTGGGCTCTCTCTTTTTTTTTTTTTTTTTGGGAGGGTTTTTATTATGGGCGGGGGCGGCT